TCTNGGATTGTGGTCAGAAGAAGAATTACTATCACAAGTATGTTGGGAGTTAGACACGATGTACATACCTTGAACTCTGAGTAACCTGCTCTGAGAATCTCTACCTGCTATATTAGATGCTGTACACACATACCGCCCGGTATCATCTGCCTACAATATAATCAATATATTAGAGGCTGTACACACATACTACCCGGTATCATCTGTCTACAATATATTAGAGGCTGTACACACATACCACCCGGTATCATCTGTCTACAATATATTAGATGCTGTACATACATACCGCCCGGTATCATCTGCCTACAATATAATCAATATATTAGAAGCTGTACACACATACCACCCGGTATCATCTGTCTACAATATAATCAATATATTAGATGCTGTATACACATACCGCCCGGTATCATCTGTCTACAATATAATCAATATATTAGATGCTGTACACACATACCACCCGGTATCATCTGCCTACAATATAATCAATATATTAGATGCTGTACACACATACCACTGGGTATTATCTGTCTACAATATAATCAATATATTAGATGCTGTACACACATACTGCCCGGTATCATCTGCCTGCAATATAATCAATATATTAGATGCTGTATACACATACCGCCCGGTATCATCTGCCTGCAATATAATCAATATATTAGATGCTGTACACACATACCACTGGGTATTATCTGCCTACAATATAATCAATATATTAGATGCTGTACACACATACCGCCCGGTATCATCTGCCTACAATATAATCAATATATTAGATGCTGTACACACATACCGCCCGGTATCATCTGTCTACAATATAATCAATATATTAGATGCTGTACACACATACCACCCGGTATCATCTGCCTACAATATAATCAATATATTAGATGCTGTACACACATACCACCCGGTATCATCTGCCTACAATATAATCAATATATTAGATGCTGTACACACATACCACCCGGTATCATCTGCCTACAATATAATCAATATATTAGATGCTGTACACACATACCACCGGGTATCATCTGTCTACAATATAATCAATATATTAGATGCTGTACACACATACCACCCGGTATCATCTGCCTACAATATAATCAATATATTAGATGCTGTACACACATACCACCCGGTATCATCTGTCTACAATATAATCAATATATTAGATGCTGTACACACATACCACCGGGTATCATCTGTCTACAATATAATCA